CACGTTGATTATCTCAACTGCGTTTGTTGCTGCTTGTGCTGAGTTCATGGTATGTATATGCACTGTTCTCCCAGATCTGCTCTAGAATTGTTTTTTTGTATTGCAGTAAGCTCATGTTATCTATACAGGTTGACTCCATCGACGCTTTGACGGACACCGGTGACATTCGCGAGACGTTTGTCGGCTTGATCCTTCTACCTATCGTTGGTAATGCGGCTGAGCACGCTACGGCGGTGACAGTAGCATGCAAGGACAAGATGGATCTTGCGATTGGTGTGGCTGTCGGATCCAGCATGCAGATTGCGCTGCTTGTGTTGCCGCTGATTGTTGTTCTTGGGTGGATCATTGGTGTCGACGATATGGTATGGAGAAGGCCCACGCAAAAGGTCAATTGCAATTCGGGGCTGGTGCTAACTGTGATAGACTCTTAACTTCGATGGATTCCAGGTCATTGTACTATTTATGTCCGTTTTGTTGGTAAGTGAATCAAGTTCACCGCGAGAACGCGAGATCATTGTACTGACTGTTGTTTCATAGGTCAACTACCTCATCGGTGATGGCAAGTCTCACTGGCTCGAGGGTGTCTTGTTGATGATGATGTATCTGATTATCGCTATTGCGGCTTGGTAAGTGATCGTTCCAGATGGTTGATCAGTATTTTGTACCCTTCTTCCTTACTAACTGCGTCTCTAGGTTCTTCGTTTAAACCCTTACATCCACTATGGTCAGTGGGTGGGGTTCTCATTGACCATACGATTTTGGTCTTCTAATTTACCAGCCCAATTTTGAGACTCTTCTCCTGTCAATTGTCTACTCTATATCGTGTTGATTTGCTTTGATCTAAGTTTTTTAGATTTCTGATGGTCGCTCATTAAATACCCACTCTGGCGGTGCTTTTCATGTCAGACGCATTTTCTCTCTTCCTTCTTTGTAGACCAAATTGGTTGGTGATTCCATCAAAGTTTTCCAATCCAGACACCAAAAATCGGAAAACCAAATAGCCGGACATGATCTATTCAGATCAGGTTAAAGAGCAATTCTGACTAACGCGGTAACTCGCCTCCGGGGGGGGGGGTGGGGACTGGCCTCTTGGGATTCAGAGAGTCAGCAGATTCGCAAGAATAAACAGAGTAGAATTGTGCTGATATTACAGTGTGTTAGGGCACGATACTGCGCCATTTAGCCATCGGAGAATTCCCGGGCGTGAAAAACCATCATGCACGGTAAACTATCCAAATCCGGACTCGGGAGACTCGGTATCCCACCGACGTTCGATGTTAACCGAGCCGATGTGGGGATGCTAGGATTGTTCCTCTGCTCTTTCGAATTCGTTTCTGTTTCTGTTTTTTCAAATTTTTTTTTAACCGCCGAGAATCCTTCCGAAGAAGTGGAAACCGGCGTCTCCCCGGCTTTTGGATTTTCTGGAAGCGATCGGCCTGTGAGGAATTCAGAGGCTATCCAACATGTGTGTAATCTCCAATCTGTACCACGTGCCGACAAATTACATGGGGTCGGCAACTACTCCGCGCCGAGAAAGGGACACGGAGAAAAGGAGTATTTCATCCCGACCGTGGGTTGTCGTGGGAACTAAATAATGTTTGAAGCCACTGTGGCGCTGAAGGCTTTTACTATGGACTGGATTGGATAATTTCCAAATCGAACGGTAATCCGGTGCACAGCACGGGATGTCTCGGATTATATCAAGTTTGGGCGGGTTAAGAAAAAGATGAACAAGGGAGTTTCCTTATTAAATGTTGTCACCTGAGAAGCTACTCCATATGTGGGGTAGAGAGCCAAGAATATGTATTCCGTACTCCGTAGCAGAGTAATCTTAGAAATGGCACAGGAGATTGTGAATCAAGTACAACCTGTACAACGGTCATGGAAACTGTTCTTTCCATTTAAGCTTCCCCACTATTATCCACCGGGGCATGGATATGGAAAAAGCTAAGAGGCTAAGAGGGAGGCTAATAGGGAGATTTATAGAAACAGGCACATGACCATTGGGGTCTCTTCTATACGATATAATATAAATACTCCATTGCGTCTTCCACACCCATACACGACACTTGTGAAAACCCAAAATCGAACCCCAGCTAGAATATCTTACCTAATACAAAATAAATGCGGGGTTATCCGGGGTCCAATCGCTGGCGCCTCGGAGGTTGCAGTCCAATCGCTGAATCGGACGGGGCCGAAATGTGGA